AATATTATAATATTATAATATTATATATAAAATATTATAAAATAATGTTGATATAAAATATTAATTGAACAATTATTATAATATTTTATAAAATGATATTAATGAAATAAGAGGTTGTCTTCAACCTCTTGACACTTGAAACAGAGGTGCTTAGACATTGATGTTAAGGTTGTCTTTAACCAAGACGACGGATTTGGTTGCTGATCAGGTACTGGTAGGGGTTCTTAGATAAGGTATGCTAAAGTTGGTGGCAGAGAGGTTGAAACAGAAGAGAGAGCCACCGTCTATGATTTTCATTGCTAGTTTCCAGTCACTGATCATCAGAAGCCCATCGCCGTCAGTCTAATAATCTATGATTTTGGTTGCCAGTTGTCAGCCGCTGGCCATCGGAAGCCCATTGTCTTCAATCTAATCTGCATTTTTGGTTGCCAGTTGTCAGTCCAGTCATCGGAAGCCCATCATCTTCAAACCAATCTGTGTTTTTGGTTGCCAGTTGCCAGTCACCAGTCACCAAAAGCTCATCGTTTTCAATCTGGTCTGTGATTTTGGTTGCTAGTCGCCAGTCACCGAAAGCCCATCATCTTCAGTCTAGTAATCTACGATTTTTGCTGCTAGTTGCCGATCACCAATCATTAGAAGCCCATAATCGTCAGTCTAATAATCTATGATTTTGGTTGCCAGTCATCGGAAGCCCATCGTCTTTGATCCAATCTGTTTTTTTTTGTTGTCAGTTGTCAGTTGCCAGTTGCCAGTCACCGGAAGCTCATTGTTTTCAATCTGATTTGCAATTTTGGTTGCTAGTCTCTGGTCACCAGTCACAGTTTGTATTCCTCTAATTTTTTTAATGGTTCAAAATGAAGAAGATGAATAGTTGGGTTTTTTATCAAAGGGCATGGGTGGAAAACCATTTTCGTCTGCTGCCTCCGAATGCGCTCAGAGGTAGCTCGACGTCTTAACAGTTTGGAGGAAATTTCAGAGTTTGGAGGTTCTACCGGACGACCGCGAAGCACTAAAAAGCAAAAAATTTTGTGTTTGGAGCTCCATTCAGCGCTACCGAACACCACCTAAGTCTAAGAGTGGCTACTTTGTGCAAAAAAACGACAAAGGCTAGGCCCATATCCAACCCACCCCTGTCAAGACCCTGGATGATGGGGACAAACATTGGGGAAAGAATCCATGCTCCCTTATAATCAAAGTCCATTATTGAATCAGCCATGTTCTGTTGATCACCAACTCGTCTGAGTTCTCTGTCCTTAAGCCTTGTCCCAACTATATGGGGTTGGCTACATGAATCCTGTTTTTCCATTCCGCCTGTTCAGTGCCATGTCCATTGTTAAATTATGAGCACTTAAATTGTTTCTTGCTACTCCTTTTTGGTCTACCCATAGCCCTTCTATCCCCTTCAACTTGCAACAGATTGCTTCTTCTTACAGTTGTTGTATGTCCTTAAACCCTTGGTTGTTCCATTACCTTCATACAGGCCCAACAAGTTGCATAAAGAATCTTTATATAAGGTTCACTCTCTTCTGTAATTCATTCTTTTCTTTTTTCAGTTTTCATTATCAGCAACAGAGATTTTTATTAAAAATCCAAGAAGGTATTTCCTGTGGTGGTAGGCTTACAAGACATCTAACCCAACAGCCAGACAATAGATAAAACCTAAAAAGGAAGAGGCCCATGTGCACAAATACAACCCCAGATTTGGTAAAGTCATCAGCCAAAGAACTAACTGACCCAAGCAACCAGTTTAATGAGTTAGCCAATCTGGACATCAGGGAATGAACATCTCTGAATCAATTAAATCTATTGAGATCCCTTTTGGAGTCATCCAAAACAGTCATCTGACGGGAAAATATGATATAATTAGCTTAATGAGATCCTATCCCAAAAACAGCAGCCCTAGAAGAAACTAGAAATCAATTCCTCCAATCCTCCTTCAGAGAATGGATAAACTAACATGTCACTATTTGTTTTCCCACCTCTTGAAAAGTTAAGCAATGAACCAACAACATGCTAAGTCACACACATCACAAGGGACAATTGAATAAGTAATTCCAAAAAACCATTAACTAGATAAAAACGGATGAAGAGATGGTATACTGATTCCACCCTCTGCCAAAAACAAGTTAAACATAGAGATCATAAAGCAACCGCTTTCTTTGAGTCATAGCAAACATAAAGGAAGATCATTAACCAACATATTCTTTTCTGCATTCTAGCAAGTGGTGGGTCTTAACCTTCTTAAACTGAAGAAAAGTGATATTGATACTTACTTCTTAATCTGTTCTAAAACATCTTTCTCATAGAACTTAGTCATATTGAAGCATGGGTACCACCAGCTCCAGGGCTTGGACCTATGTGGTCCATGGGTTGATTGATGCAAGTTCACTTTTTGTTCATACATTAGGCTCAGATGATTCCAAAATGGACTAGTTACTAGGCATATGCTCTAACAGTTTGATCATGTAAAAATCACCTTGAAATCGGCCTGTTAACAGTTAACTAAATTGAGGGACTCCTTGACTGTCATTATATAACAAAATCATTTTTTTTATCAGTTATATAATAAAATCATTTTTTTATCAGTTATATAATAAAATCATAGCTGAACTTGAATTACTAGGAACTGTGTGGACAGTCCAGTTTGCAGTTCTGGGAAACAATATATACAGACACCAAGAGGAGAGGTGATGACCCCTGCATGCCACTAATGTTTGATCATTAGGTGTCACATATCATGGGTGATAACCTTGTCCAGTTTATTATCAGTGTCCTTCATAATTGAGACCCAATGTTCTACACAACTGGACAATAGGCCTGCATGTTTTATGGGTGGACACCAAAGCTCCATGTGTTATGTGATGCAAAGCTTCAATTTTGAAAAATAAAACAAAGCAAGAAACAAAGTGGAATAGAAAAGAAAGTACAGCTGGCATGCTGTGCTGCAAGGCATAAAATTGGTGCTTACCAAGTTCAGCAACAATCTTTATCTCATGTTAATTAGTTTCATATTCAACAGTGCTCATAGGAGTTTATGAATTGACAGCAAATAGAACTACTTTAGGAATTTGAGAAATGTCTCTTCTCCAAGGTATTTGCAGACAATACAAATTATCAGCATGAGCACAATACACAATACAATTACATGTAAGTTGGAGAAAAATGATTTTCTTTTTCTTTACTTTAAGAAGGTAAGGCATTGTATTGTTTGTAATACATATCAAAATAACTATAAAGAGCCAAATACAAAGAGATTCTGTACATTACCCCTTGAAAACAGCCGAAAAAATCTATATGACAAAAACAACTGATTGAACTCTCCAATACAAATCCTGCTAACCAAAAGCCGGTCCTTGGTTAAGCCAAAAGAGAGTTTGATTTTATCTTCTGCTGGGTTCTTTCTCTGCTCAAAGATCCATCCATTTCTCTCAAACCAAGTGGCCCAAATAACAGCTGCTGGTACCACAGCCCATATTGCCTTGCCTACATCGTCATATCCTTCACATGCCAACCCCTCAAATAGGTCAATAACAGAAGAAGGGCGGTATCCTGACTGCTGAATAGCCTTCATAAAGTGAGACCAAACCCTGGTGGTATAATCACAATGAATAAACAAATGACAAGCTAATTCTTGCTCCTTTTCACGTAAAAGACATAAGGAATTGTCCACTGCTATACCCATTTTCAGCATATTAATCTTGGTGAGGCACTTATCCAGCACCACCAGCCAGATGAAGAATTTCACTTTTGAGGGAGCCACTGTACTCCAGATTTCTTTGTGAGGGAAATCACTGGTTCCACCTTTGACCAAACTTTTGTACAATGACGTAACTGAAAAGACACCAAAGCTATGCCACTTCCACTCCCTCAAATCCAGCCCATGAGGGTTGGCATTCTGGGCCTAAACCAGAGAAAAAAGCCCAGAAATCTGTTTCAGTTCTCAATCATTAAAATTCCTCCTAAATGCAGGTGCCCAAACAGGACAATCACCTGCCATAGTGTAAGATTCAGCTACAGTTGCCTCCTTGTTACTAGCAAGCAACCTGATACAGGTCCGGGAATAGAACTCCCAGTGGTGAGTCATTACACCAAGGATCCTTCCAAAACGTTTTATACTTTGCTAGCCTCTCCACTTATCTAAAGAGCCCATGGTAAACCTGAATGGTTGTATAGTGGGTCCACAGTGCTACTATCTCCACCAAAGAAGTAGACACCCAACTCCATATCAGTAAAGAGAACTCACAACAAAGCACCAGTGCAGCCAAACTTGGGTATCAGCATTTGCTTGGTTACAACATTTACTGGAAGAGGCCATGGGATCTAAATATAACATTTTGGACTATGGCTGCAGCCACCACAAGTTCAGAAGGTATCTTGTGAAGTTCTGATCATGGAAATAGCACATTGAATGGTGGCAATGGTTTTTCAGATGTTACCAATTCAACAGCGAACATCAGAAAGCAACCAAAACAATCCTATACTAGCAACAATGGAATCAATCTCCTTGAGATCACTTTGCAGTAGCAGAACCAAAAAGATGTGGATGAAGAAGATAGATCCTATAAAAGATATAACCAAATACTAGATAAAATGGTGAGGGTGCAGAAGTTCCCTTTGCAGAGCATATAAGGTTACTGTTTAATAAGAAATAGAAATAAACACTAAAAATTTAGAGGAGATAACATTTGAACTCTCACAGATAGTATGCATTTTCTTTCCATATGTCTTGTCCGTTCTCTCTCTTTGACATTGCCCCTCTTTACTAGCATAACACTATTTATTGAGCATATAAAACAGAACTGAACTGGATCAATGTCTTCTACTTACCTGACATTGAAATGGCAGCAGATCTAAAATAACTTTTTACAACTTAATTGGTCTAAATACAAGTACTATGTACAAGTTGGAATACTCTCTTTTTTTTCAACAAATAATAGAAATAAGTTAAGATTTAACAAAACACCACACATGCAAGCACTTATACTAGTTGATTGACCTACCTGAGTGGGTTCTTGAGCAATACCATTGGCTTGCCCAGGTTCTGTTTCTTCAGCCTCGTATGATAATTGGCTAAAATTCTCGTCCTGGCATTGATTATATACTGGAGGGCTATTAACAGAAGGAATTTCATTCAATTGGCACCCCACACCCTCTCGGTTGGTGGGGTTTTCATCAACTGGGTTATTAGAATCATCATCTTCGTCGTCGTCGTCATCGTCCCATTCCTCCTCCATGAAAGGCGCCCCATACTGCTCGCATACTTTTGGGCCACGTCCACTCTTCTTGTAAATCTTACAGATAGCATAAGATTCCTGCAACCAAAAAGAGAAGAACAATCGGAGTTTGGAAAGGTAAAAGAAGCAAAATAAGAGCTCCCAACCAGAACAAAAGTGCAAACTCAGGGTGATGTAAAAAGTAAAAACCTCAGAGTACGCCTGGCATTTCCTGAGCTCCTCATCGTCCATGGTATATTCGTGCATCACCCAGTCGGTTCGTTGGCCGGTCGGAGCCCGACCCTTGTGGAAAACCAGGATCTTTTTCATGCCTACAGTCCGGGAGTTCCAAATAATGTTGCGCACCTTTCCTGTTACTTTCCAGTAACCATTCACAGTCGCCCGATTGGATCTCGGACCGTTCAGGTACTTTTTGTCTCTACGGCTGAAGAAGTACCACTGTCTATCCCTACTCTTCAACATGGATTGCCCTACATTTTCAAGTAACCACCCATCCTTTCATTCAATTGAACAGAAGAAACCCAAAAACTTCAAGGGTTTGCTTTCATCTAAAATGTGAAAATTCAGGGGAAAAAGTTCTGATTTTGAGCAGCTAAGAAGTAAAAGATTAAGTTTTGAGTAAAAGGGGTCGGTACCGGGCAAATCCTCAGGATCCCACTTGTAAAGGTCGGTCTCGGCGATGAGGTTGAGGTTGAGGCAGCGGCGGCGACAGAGTTTCCTCTTGAGATAATAGAGAAGGAGCTCCTCATCGGTGGGGTGGAATCTGAAACCTGGAGGCCAAGAGGACCTTGCCGGCCATCTCCGTCGATCTCCATGGCAGCCTCCATGGTTGTCGTCTGCAACACAAGGAGGTGACTCCGACACCGCCGCATCCATCACCCCCACGCAACCTCTGTCTATCTATCTATCTATGTACGAACCTATCTTCGAGAATCTAACAAGTTTCAGATAAACAGAACAAACATAGAAGACAGTGGAAATCAAAAATGATAATTTGTATTTGTCTTTGTAATTTCAGCAGTGGACTCAAAAGGAAAGCGACGTTTCAATGAGGACCGACGCAAGACTAAAGACGCCACTTGGCTTCATATCCCAACATAGTGAACCACATTTCAATGAGGACCGAGGAGGACCTCCCCAATTCCCAATTTTAGCAGTTTATATATATACAATACAGTCCACTCCCACAACAATCCTCAGACTTTCATATCAGAGGTTGAATTCCTTTTGAAGGGTCAACCAGATACCAAATCCGAGCGCATATTTTCACTGCTCAGACAATAACTAATCCAACTTTTAAAGCTAAAAAGATAAGTTCGGTTTTATTAAAAAAATGGTGATAGTTCAGCGCCACATAAGTGTTTTCGCAATGAGTTTGAAATATTGTTTAATACGAAGGATATGTTTTAAATCAAATTATGTGTTTGGAATCGTGGAGGTTCATTGATTAAAATTTTTGGTTCGATTATGATGTGGAAAAGACGTGATATCGGAAAAACGTTTGACCAATCAACTGGAATCATAAACATTTAGTGAATCTGGTGTTATTTATCTTGGGTGGATTTTGATCGATCAAAACTCTTTTTATATCATGTCTTTTCTGCATTATAGATTTTCTTATTTTTTGTATTTGATTTATTTTAAATTTTGAAAATAGTAATGATAAATCCGTTTATTGATATTTAGGTGTCATTAGTCACCACATCAGCAAAACAGAATAAATGTATATTCGTTGAGGAAAATGTTAAAATGAAACTTCCTCTAACAGTAGGCAATGCATATAAATCGAAATCTACTTTTGCATGTCCCTATGCATACGGATTCACATAATGGGGGAAATAATGAAGTGGCGCCTGTGGCAGCATTTATTCAATAAATGTCCACGATTCTAAACACAATCAAAATCATTTTGTTTAGAATTATTTTTTGGGAAAAGGGTATTGATAAATTGGCATATCGTTTTCTCATAAAATGCTTCTTTTTGGGATGTTCATGTTGCTGCCATATAGGAGTTGACATCAGCGCACCACAATGCCCCACAGACATCCCGACCTTGTATTGGGAAATGGGAACATCTCCTGATGATGTCTCATCATCTCCCGTACTTATTATCGGGAGATGTTCTCAATACAAGGTCAGGATGTGCTATGGGGCATTGTGGGGCACTGATGTGAACTTGCCATATAGTCTTTTGTTTTTGATGTCTTGTAGCATGTTGTTGCTATCAATAGTAAAAAAATGAGAAAACACCAAAAAGTTTCTCAAATCATACATTTTCACAATTTCCAATGTATGGTCCAAAAAAATGGATTTCATATGTGATGCTGATGTGACATTGTTACTTTAATAAAAATGCATTGGTTACAAACATTGGCCAAATAAATGTTTTTCCTTGTGTAAAAGCTATCTATCGGGAGAAACTCATTTTTTATGTTCCCCTTATTATTTAGCTTATGTGGCATCTAATAGTGTCAAGTTGTCATATATATTTAAAATATTATTTATATTTTATTTTTTTTCCTTATTGTAAGTAAATTTATTTTAAAAAAATATTGTTAATTAAAAAAGTTTAGGGACTCAAGTCCCCATGAGAAACCTACTTCCATTGGGGATGGAGACAGGGAATATAATCCCCGCCTTGTTGTCATTCCAAATAAAGCGTTTACATCGGTTCGGTTTGTAGGCATTTGGAAAAAGGGTGTAATTATTATCAATGTAAAACTCCACTCTGATTCAGTTTTGCGTGCGTTTGGATGGAGTGGAGTTTTACGTCGATAATCAATGTAAAACCTCATCACCTCTAAAGTTTTACATCGATAACCGATGTAAAAGCTGCATCGATTTTATCGATATAAAACTTTACACTCTTCCACCCATCGCTATTTTCAAAAAGCAATGGTCACTTTCATGGTTTAGTGTTACACCGATGACGTTTTACATTGATTCCAAACGCAGTCTAATGGAAAATTAGTCCCATAATTAAAAGGACAAATCTCCTAAATCATTCCTAGGAAATTGATTTACTCTACCCCTATTGTTTAGAAATTGTCTTAAGGTATTCTTATGCTTTTTCATAATTGACTAAATCCTCCCTTGCCATTAACGTTTGTTAACACTCTATCACAATCTACTAACATGTGATACATGACATATAGGATTTTTTAAATCCCAATATTACCCTTTTGTGGTTGATTTTGCCTCTATTATTCTTCAAAATTTCAAAACAAAGCCCAATAGGTCAATAAAGGAAGTTCTCTCCCCTCACCTCTTTGTGGTTGCAACCAACTAGAATCTGCAAAACATGTTTTTGTTTTTTGGGATTTCAGCTTTGTTGATCAAAAGGCCCATAATGTAAAAGCTCTTTCTCTATCCTCTCATCGGAGCTGTTTGATTTATTTTTCAATTCCCACCCCACAGTTAGAACATGATAATACTACCCATAGGTAACCCATAGAATTACTTAAAAAAAGTGAAATAACAACAACCATCCATAATTCTTGCCCATCGTTTTTAAAACCGGACCAGACTGGACGGTTGGACTAGAAAAAATAGGGACCGGTTCTGTTTTACTCCAAAATTGATATTTTGGACAAATACCATTGATTTGATCAGTGAATTATTAATTGGGCGGTCAAATCATCAATCTTGACAACGATTTTTTATTTTTTTATTTTTTCTATCAGAGTGGGTCATCCATTTGGATCGTTCGACCTAGGAACCGGACCATAAAATGGTTCTTGTTGGGTCCAGTTTTAAAAACCTTGTTCTTACCGGTTTATCAAATGTAATGTCTGAATACCATTACCAAATAAACAACACTAGGGGCATTGTGTTATCTTATTCTCAGTATAGTAATACATCTCTCTAGAGTCTGCAATGTTGATTCATTTCCACACTATAAATTGTTTTTTACGCCTCCAACGTCAACTAGAAATGAAATTGTTTAAAACAAGGTAATTTAGAAACAAATGTCTCTCGGCTTCTCTTCATTCCAGAATATAGATAGAAAGGGGAAACTTCTAAAGTAGTTGTCCATGTGGGTGTTGCAGTTTTGCTGTTGAGAGAGCTTCATTCATATATGATACAAGTTTATTCAAATGTTTCATTTTAAAAATTTAAAGAAGAATGATGAATAAAATAATATTTTGATAATGGATGATAGCCAAAAGAGAAGATCTAATCAATTGTTAAAAAACTTGGGGACGAGGTATTTTAAGACAATTTATATATAATAGAGGCAGTGTAAGTCAATTTCTCAAAACTTAAAGATACTACAAATGTATTTTTTTTTATAGGAAGTTTGGCTCACAGTTAAGTTCGAACCCACGAGTATGGTTTTTCTGCGAACCAACAACCAAGCTCAAATTGTCAGATATTCGATGGCTTGGCTCGAATTCACACCCAAGACAGAGAGAGGGAGAGGAAGGATTAAGACATCATGGTATGACAATAGCTGTAGCCTGTAGTAGCTGAACTGAATGAGTAATTGCATTGTCTGTCTTAGAGATGAACTGAATCACTTATTGCACTGTCTGTCTTCATGTGAATAAAGCTACCAAGGAGGTTGTGACTTGTGAGCCACTTGATAGCAGAAGCTGAAGCTGAAACTGAAATCGGATTGTTACTATATCCTTTCAGGCTTTAATGTTTTATCCACCAAAAGGCAAATCATCCGTTTCAGCCATTATCAAATCAAACGGCCCCTAACACCTGTTTAAGCTTTACACAGTGACACACTTACACTTACACGTTTGACTTGATAGCTGACATTGGGCTTGGGCTTGGGCTTGAAATCAATGGTAATGCCCAATTCACTGACAGCTGAATTGGCAGACCATAAATATAACATCTGTATTAATTAAGAAGTTTCAGGAAAAAAAGTGGGTATGAATAAGCATAAGCTTATAGGTGGCTCCGCTCTAGTCTAGTTTCTGTAACGCATCTTCTGATGGGTATGAATATGATGCTGTCATTTTTCTAACTCCAAATACAAATTAATATTTAATTGGCTATATGAGCAGCATATTACGCATATAATTTGATTTGTAGCCAAACAACCCCTTGGAACATAATAAAAGAGAGCACTGTCTGAACAATTAATGAGTTAGTAATGAGATATGGACCTAAGATTCCATGGGACCAAAAAAACCTGCAAAGAGAGTTGGTACCCATAGATTCCCAACATCTCAAAATTTATTCTAATGGATCATTTAATCCATTAATAAATCGTGCAAGTGCAGTTTTTGCCATAGCCACTCATGATAATTATTTACTATTTGCATCAGGAACTGTCACTGCACTTCAAGAAACTCAAGATGCTGAATTCAAGGCATCATTCATCTCTTTCCACATTTTCTGTTAGTCGAACTATCCAGTGCCAAACCTCTCTTCTCTTTACATCCTCCTCACACTCTCAAGCAGCCGCAAAATCGGCAAACATTCACCGGCACAACAATTTCGGTAGACCGGCGGTGAGTCTTCTCTCTCTCTCTCTCTCTCGTTCCTCTTCTCACTTTTTCTCTTTCAAATCTCAGACTCTCAGACACCGGCGAGGCAGCGAATACAAGCACTAGCGGTGAGTCCTCTCTCTCTCTCTCTCAGACGCGAACTGACTCCTCTTTTCACTATCAAAATCACTTCACCGCAAATTGAGCACCGGCCGGTGAATCCTCTCTCTCTCTGAGACGCGAACTCAGCACCGGCAAACACAGTCATCGGCGGTGAATTCTTTCTTCTGTTAGGTCGGGTTCGGGCCCATATTATAGGCCCATTGGTTGGGCCGAACTCGGACTCGGTCTAACAAAATCATATTTATGAAGAGTAAAAGCCCGGCCCATGAATAGGTCTATTCATGTACTTTCAAATTATCAATAAATTTTAATTTTTATCTGCAAAAAATAAAAACGTAATGAGATATGGACAATTACGTACAAACATTACAATACCAGTCCAGTTGATTAGGCACCTGTACAGAATATACATGAGATGAGACATGGCTCAAAACACCCACCGGCCACTGATATGTATCGATCTTTTACATTAGGTAAACTTAGGAGGTGTTCAACAATCAATTATATCGTTTTTGCTGCCATGGCATTTGCTTTTGTTTTCAAAAGCAAAACCAACCATGTTCTCGTAACACCCCCTCTCAGTATCAGTTCCAATTTTCTATGAAGTCCCACTGCCA